ATTTGAAGGTTGACTTTTCTTGTATTAAAAACACTTTTCTTTCATTGGTCGGATGAAATACGCTTATTTTTTGAGACAAGGATTTTTGATTTTTTTTTTATTTTTGGCCAAAATCATCAATGTTAGAACAATAAAAGGCTTGAACTACTTCAGTTGGTGTGCAATGAATCTAAAATATATGAAAGTTTAATGTTTATCAGTACATTACAGAAAATAATGAACTTTATCACAATATGCTCATTTTTTGAGAAGGACCTGTATGTCAATAACAAGTTATCGTAGATGTTAAAAATACCATCAGAGTAAAAATTTATAAACGACTGTATACAACGTTTGCGCCACAGAGTAAAACTGTGACTTTGGTTCTCTTTATTGGTTGAAAGCAGCATCAGTCAAATCCAGCCAACAACAGACATTTTTTTCTCTCCTCCTCTTCACCATTAAGAAATCCACAGCGGAAAGGAAGAACTTAAATCTGTCCTGTCTGACAAAACTTAAGACCCTTAAGTAACGTAATCAAGACAAACTTACACATTATTCATAAGTTCAATACTTTTAAAGACTCTTAATTTTAGAAACATAAATATAAGACTTTTCAAGACTTTTCAAGGACCCGTGGACACACTGGTGCATGACAATTTTGCACTTAGCTTCAACTGTTTTGGATGAAAATAGAAAGTAGCCTACTGCCGACATCGCTCCTACTTCTTGCTAACTTGTTAGCGCAGCATGTTGTTATGATCACGTGGGCTCTGCATGCTGGATCCAAGCGCTGCTGGATAGAAACACTGGAGCTGAGTCACTGGACCACTGGTTTGGACTGCTTATATCGGAGTGATTTTTTATGCAGGCCGATAAAATCTGATACTCGTTTTTTGGTTGATATCAGACCGATATCCGATATCAATATTGGTTCGTGACACCCCTATCTGACCTCAGAATTTGAAGCTACTTCATACGTCAACCCTGTAAAATGTTTCTGCTGTATGGTAAATCAAAGCATTAAATGTCACACTTTTAACAGCACTCGTTTGCTGAAATGTGAAAATGGTAAAGAAAATACAGAGTCCTTCTATCCATACAGACCTCCTTGGTGCCAAACCAGATGTCTCTCATGTGGTCACAGATGGCCTTGGCAGCAGACATGGCACTTGACAACTTCCTTGCCTTGATGACTGCAGCACCTCGCTGCTGAACCATCTGCAGGAAGAGTATTGGAAGGATTAAAATAACGCTCTTCTACAGTTTGTTTTTAAAAACTGGACCAAAGGCTGAGCACTCACAGAGATGAAGTCTCCTCTAAGCCAGGAGTCATCCTTCACAGCGTCGTAGGCAGCCTTCTCTGTGCCGTGGACGTTCACCTTGGCGTGATGGACATCAGGGTACTGAGTGGAGGAGTGGTTCCCCCAGATGATGACGTTCTTCACGTTGTCAGAAGACACACCACAACGTATGGCTACCTGCAGGTCACAAACAAGAACATCAAAAGGGTTTAATTATAAAGCAAAAGAAGCACAGGGTAACCATGCTTCAGGAAGTAATGATCTGCAGTGAACAGATTCTTTACTGAATCATCTGTCGATATAAAACATCACTTTCACCTTTGTTTTGTATTCACACTCCATAGCATTTTCAGACATAAACCAAACTTAAGCTTTAATTGTTTGTTTCAGGTAACAGTCAAATTAAAACCAGTTTTTTCTTGTCACAGCAGTAGACCAACAGTCAACAGGGCTTCTACGTATATTTATGTCTATGCATTCACCTGCGCTCAGAAAGAACAACCTGCCCTATTCTGCTCTGATTGGGTAAAACAGTGACTATGGCTAACATTACTTGTTGAAAGCCACGTCAGTTTACCGTAATCCTGAGTTATCCACCACAACAAATGTAAGGTTTTTTTAGTTTATATATATA